TGAAGCCGAAGCAGATTCTGACGCTTCAGTTTCCATCCCTGTCATCGTGATAAGCTCCGCTCCGCCGCCCCCCCCGCCGCTGCAAATTTCGCCGGTGAGTTCCCGCAGCTCATGGCAAGAAAGTCATGAAGGATGGGCTTCTTATCATCCCCACCCATCGTCACAACCGCCATTATCTTTCTTCGGCCGCCTTTCGTTCTTTAAAATCTCCGCCCAAGACGGAAAAAGACCCAGGAGCATCTCCTCCTCATGGCCGCGGCAACCAACGCAAGCAAGTAGAGCCCGGATTCCCAGAAAGATAAAGTGGAACAGAGAAGTTTGAGCGGAAAAGGAACGGAACAAGGACACTTTAGTGAAAGCGCCAAGTAGACGAAAAAACAACTTTATTTATTTTCAAAAATTCGGATCAAAATTTTCAAAATTAAATGGATACTTCAAAACATAAAATTAGGGCTGTGAACGGGTCGAATGCGAGTGAGCCTAAGTTTAGCTCCCACGAGATTTATTGGCCGCTGTGGATCATTTGATCAGAATAAAATTGGGAACGAATGAGTCACTTGAAAAATAAACGTAGCAGATCTATTACAGGATCAATTTGGATTAACTCTTGTTCGTTTAGAAAATACGGTTCGAGGAACTATATCTGAAGCAATCAGGCATAAATTGATACCGACTCCTCAAAATTTGGTAACTTGTGTTCGGCTCGTTTATATTTTGAGTTCAAAAAGTGTGTTCGTGTTTCACAACAAAGAATCGTTTTGATAAACCCTAATCATGTAACTATAAGATCTGTCAAAACGGCTTATTGTTCGCGATCAGCTCGTGTTCGGCTTGTTAAGAAGCTCGTGTTCGATTCGTTTGCTAAATTAACGAGTCAAACACGAATAATTTTTTTGCGCTCGATATTTAAATGAGCCAAACACGAACAAAGATTTGTTTATTCGTGTTCGACTCGTTTTGGCTTAAAATAGTTAATTATATGTGTGTGTGTGTGTGTGTGTATATATATAATTGATGAGTAGTATTTCGAGCCAAAACGAGCCGAACACGAACGAACAAATTTTTGTTCGTGTTGTTTGTGTTCGGCTCTTTAACTTATCGAACGAACCGATCACGAGCTTCCTAACGAGCCAAACACGAGCTGTTTGCGAACGACGAGCTGTTTTGACAGCCCTACATAAAACCATTGATAAAAAGTTGTTTCACACAGGCCAATTTGTAGGGAGCGCCATGCTACTTCAAAAGGAAATACTAGTGTTTTGTGATTTGTCGCAATCTAATAAATTTTCTTGTAACATTATGGAATGGCATTGGTATGAGTGTGTACTTTATAGGTATTTGTCTTGATCTTCCTTGTAATTGTTGCTCCTCTTTGGGTGGCTATTTTTCACCTCGGCACATCGATATTAATGATATATCAATTGTGACCTTCAAAAAAAATAGTTGTCATATGATGTGAATGGTGGAAGCACGTAAAATTATAATTCAAACTCACGATTTTGAGAAATGCCTACCGTAATTCATAGGAAGGTTGTTGTTATGTCGATGGACATGCACCTAACATCTGAAGCCCCAATTTCGTTAAAGGCCCTTCAATTACATTATTAGATGGCCCTGCATAATCAGCAGAAGTTTAATATGTTGAGGGTTAGTGGGTATTCATACTCGATCATCACAGACCAGTTGCAATTGATCTCCTTAAAGTATCAACTTTTGATCTCCTTGAAGCGTTAGGTGTGGATAGTGAGGGAATATCAGAAGCTGGTCTACATGGACCTCAATATTGCGCATGAATTTGATGAGTCCCATCCATATAAATGTCATAATCAATGGATTGGTTATGACACTGTTTATGATATTCTATTAAATAACCCTGCAATCTCATCCAAATAAAAGGATTGTGATGTTCTATTAAATAACCCTGCAATCTCATCCAAATCAAGCTACATTGAACTAGATTTTTCAGCAGAGCTGCCAATAAATAATTTTACCAAGTGTGACATCAAAAAATAATGATCCACCTAAGCCACATAATAATTAAGATATTGAGAATGGAAGATATTGAGAGTGGATGGGCACAATTTTTGTTTATTGAGTTTAAGAATATTTTTATAATGGGATACCATTATTCTCCCTCTTGGTGACTTGGGATAGCAAGTAATTGTTAGTTGGGTCAAAAGTTGCATAAGATAGAGTGATATCCATAATCAAAACCATCTCATATAAACTACTAGTTCCTCTTTATCATGCCCTTGAGGTAGAGTGAATCGTTTGATGTAATTGCGCTAGTTATTCCAAAGCTTAATGTAGCTCTTTTTGCTATGCATCTAGTCAATATTTGGATTACCAACCTCAAACATCCTTTTAAATTTCATTTAATTAGTTTAATTATTGTTAACTAAATGCTAGCAAACTATCACATAACTTAATTTGGGAGATGCCTCTCCACTCACTATATAGGAAAAGCACCATTTTCCGACATACAATCCCCAAATAAATTATTATTGCCTCTTGGAAAATTACCTTTCAACAAATTTTAGGATGAATATAAAGTAGTCAGATCATCCCTAATTGGAAATGTCTAATGGACAAATTTTTCACCGTAAACAGATATCGACGGAAAAATAGCGGAATGTACGTCTGAAATATTTTTGGTTAAAATAGCTACAAATAATTCTATCAGAAGACCAAAATATTCGTCTCTTGTAATAAATCAAAAAACTGGCAAAAATATAATGGAACACTCCGCCGGCAAAGCCCGACTAATTTTTTGTCTGAAATATCCACTAATTTAGCACATATAAAAAATTGACTAAAAATTCCATCGGTTATATTGATATAGGCATTACCAGTAGACAAATATGTTGAAAGTTTGCCAAAAAACTTGTAACATAAAGAAAATAAACACTAAGTTTAGCCCAAGGAAATTCAAACACTCGCAATCGCAATACTAAACACAGTACAACAATATTCATAAGATTTCAAAGCCATGTAATACCACATAGAGAAAATCATAATTTATGTAATATTAAATTTAATTAAAATAATGGATGTAAATATATCTCCAAAGGAAATATAAAAATAAGTCAATATCCATCAGAAACAACAAAAATTAATAAAGGATAAAAAAAATATCTACTCATCAGTCTCATTGTCGTACTCCTCTTCCTCTTTATCTTCCTCCAAAACAAAAATAGACATAAAATGTAAGAAACCATGGAGGAACCTTCTTGGTTTTGGGTTTTCAGGCCACTAGAGCAGCCGACCAGGCCAAGGGAATGGCTAGCTAGCTCAGGCAGGTCAGGGATGTTTAATGGTGATTAACTTGGAACTTCGAAAGACTGGATGCATGGGTTAGAGAGTTAACCGATTTTAGGGGAGGGGTTTGCATAAATTGAGGGGCCTTTGGTCCATGCCACAAACGTGGGCTTAGCTTGGATTGATGTGGCCAACTCATATGCTTAGGCTGGGGCTGAGGTGATTAAGGTTTAATTAAATTAAATGATTTGAGGAAAAGTTTGGTTTTAGGATTAAAATGGGGTTTGGGATTGGACATGAATTTTGGGCTTGGATTTAGACCAATTGATGGTCCCATTTGGCCTAGAAGAATGTCATGAAGAATTTGGGAAATAAATTTTGTGGAATTGGAGTGATTACATGGCTCTATTTAATGAATTTGGAATTGGGTTCAATTTTGGGGCAGTTGACTTTGGCTTGGGGTTTGGATTTAGAATTAGGTGTGAGTGGGTTTGAATTTGGTTTAAATTGGGCTTAAAAATGATGAACTTAGCTATGATGATGTTTAATTTTTATTTGAAATTGGGTGAGCTTGGAATGAAATTGGTGGAAATTGAGAGTGATTTGGGGACTTTAGGGATTTAAGGGTATTTTGGGAATTTTGGCCAATTTTGGTGGATTTGGGGATTTTGGGTGCAATTGGAAACATTTGGTGGTTAGAATTAGTATTAGTGAAGTTTGGAACTCTTTTTGGGGATTTTGGCAATCTTTTGGATATTAGGGGCAATTTGGTGTTGGGGTACTTTAGTAATTTTGGGGATTTTGGAGGTATTTGGCAATTGAGGTAATTTGAAGTGGTTCAACATGAATTTTGGTGAGGAATTGGTTGTTTGGGTGATTTCGGAGGTTTTAGGATTCCAGAGGCATCTTGGTAAATTTGAGGAAAAGTGGGGTTGCAGGCCAAAGTGGGATGCCCTAATGGAATTGGGATTGATGGTCATGCAAATTGTGTAAACTCCTCCCTTAAAATCATAAAACCCATGAGGAAGCTCATTTTGGATCCTCTACATGTTGGTCCTACCCACCTTAGCCAAAGACTAAGGGCTTGGGGCCACCCATATGAGTTTCCAAGAAGAACTGGGTGATAGGTTAGGTATAGGTGATTTTTGGGTTTGTGTGTGTGTGTGAGGTTATGACCAGGGCAAAGCCATCTAGAGTTGCCCTAAGGTCTCACTGATCCTAGTGTGAGGTTATGGTGAAGTGATAGAGTTATAGGATATTGTGGATGTGCGAAACTTGTGTTGATGGGAAAAGGTGCAAATTTGTGGGGACACTTGTGAGTGTAGAGATTTCACGAGCGTTGGTGTTGGAATTGTTGATTTCATGAAAGTGTTTCAAATTTGATGTTTTATTTTTGAAGAGTATTCTGTTATATTAATTTGATATCGTTCTTTGTTCTTTAGTATTTCTAGAACAAAATCCAAGATTTAGTCCCAACGGTATTGTATCAATTACACATGGTGGGAAAAGTAAACTTTGTTACTTTTTAGAAAACCTGATGCATCAAGAATACAATCTGATACAGTTATCTGATGTACATCATGAAAAGCATACATAGTAACATTTGCCTTTGAAGAGATATCCCTGTCTCTGAGTCGTCTATCATGTCTATCCTGGTTGTTTGGAATTGTGGAGACTAACCCTCCTCCTAAGGCATACTCCAGGAAAAAGGTCCCTTCATACACACTAAGAGGTGCACTGTCTCACAACTCCAAAGGCTGTAATCTTTCGAGATCCAGGTCAAAACGGTATCCATATGGCACCTTGTTGTCATCCATCCTTCTTATAGTGACAAACACCCTTCTTCGTGGTACGCTTGGAATGCAATGCTTAGCTAAGTTAGCTCCTTTCCCATTAAGTACTAAGACAGACCCCACAAGCAAGGGAATCTTCCCCGATTCTTGAAAGTTGCCTGGTCTGATGATATCCAACTCCTTTCCAAACATTATTTTGCATTTGCTGATGAATGACACTGTGCAGAAGGGTCTGACAAAATCATGATGATCTATGTGGGGAGGAATATTATCCCCCTTTTCGTAGATGTTGATAATGTATCTATTGAGTACATAGTTTGCTGGTAGGAAGTGCTAGGAAACCATTCACTTAATCATCTTCTTTATTACGAAATTCATTGAATCTACTTCATCACGCCTCAAGATGCTTGGGGGATTCCCGTTCTTATCAACTATGAAGTTATAGCAACAACCACATTGAATGGTAATTTGTCCCCTTTCATGCATCCAGTTCTGTGGCTCAGAATACATCTTCTTCCCAAATGACCTGCACAACCTAACATCCTGAGGTGGAACACACAGCCCATTATTCTTCATTGCTCGGTCTCAGAAAAGAAATCAATATATAGCTTTAATCCTTCAAGAATATTAACATATTTCCCTTATATTAGCTTAAAATGTTCAAAACTCTTTGGCAGGCTTCTTGAAATCTTTTCAATTCTTCCTCTAAGATGATCTATAATCATCTGGGCTGTACGAATTGTGGAACATATGGTTCCACGTCCTGTTGATCCTTGGGTCTCTGCATCATAGGGAGCATGATGCTCTCTTCTTGAGGAGAATCGTACTCCCTGCAACCTTCACAAGGCTCTATTGGAGTATGCCTTGACAAGAAGGGCTCCAAAGCTAGAACTATCTCTGTCTATCCCACTGGAAATTGCGGAATTACATCCCTCACTGATTGATCTAACCTCGAAGCCTCCTTATATGCTACTGAAATATCAGCTGATACGGCTTATACATAGATTCTCCTTTCCAATTGGTCAAGCATTCAACATTTATGATGATTCATGTTACGACACTGTGTGCCAGACAACGCTGCTTTCCAAGGCGGTCTAGGTGGAACTCCCTCCACCATAGCACTCATAAGTCTCCCTTTTGAAGTTAGGGCAATGGACTGTATCTATTTAGCCCCCTATCATGCTCTTGGTCCTTAGAGCTTCGCTCCCATTACCCTGAACTTTCCTTTTATTATTAGTAGTAGTGTCTCCCTTACTCTGAAACTTGAGCACTGTACTTAAACCTTCTTTTCTTCTGAACTGGTCACTTTCAATAGTGACCCCTCATACTCCATTTTGACTTACTTGAAGTCTAGGTTAAAGTCTATGATGGCGCCCGATGCTACCTTTTCTTCATCTAGTGCAAGATTGATGTCGTTCTTAGAAGAGAAAATCAGCCTCTGGCCCAAAATTTTCCTACAAAAAATAGGAGAAACATCAGCAAGCTGAATCTCAATCCAAACAAGAACAATATGTTGTTATTAATTATTATTTATTTTTTATATTAAAAAGTGTATGTGTTGTATTACAAGTGTATACATTTTTTAGTTAATTTTATGATATTTCAAATTTTAGTGCAACCAATCACAAAAAAAAATCATCACATCAACATTTTGAGGGGTGTAAGTATCATCTATAAAGTTCGTTCCCTAAATCATCATGTCACGTAATACTTCTTCAGATACCCCCGTTGATTGGAAGCATAGGTCTTTCATCCTGATAGTCCACTAATTGGTAAGATCCTCTAGAGTAGACCTTCTCGACCATGAATGGTCCCTCTCAATTTGGTTGAAACTTTCCTCCTATATTGCGGTGTGTAAGAATAGGTCTTCTGAGAATGAGAACATGGTCAACAACTTTGAACATCCTCGGGCAGACCAGTTTGTTGTGGGCTTGTATCATCTTGGCTTAGTACAATTCAAGATTCTGTTGTGCTAATAGTCGCTTCCCTTTAATATTTTCTAATTTCTCAAGCCTGAGTTTGGTGTTCTCTTTTATTGTATTATTGTTGGCTACATCGATCCCGAGAGAGGGCAGCTGCACTTCCAAAGGGAGCAGGGCCTAAGACTCGTACACTAAAGCGTAGGGTGCAGATTGATTCAGAGTCCTGTACATCATCTTGTAGGCCCACAATTCCATTAGTATCTGTTCATGCCATTCTCTTTTGCTGTCATCCAATATTTTCTTCAAGTGTGCACCAAGGTCTTGTTGAAAGCCAGTGCTGGTCTATTCGCCCTCATGCAATAAATTGTAGAATATCTCTAATCTATCCCATGTCATCCAGCAAAGTTGTTGATTTTTGTACTCTTGAAGGCTAAATCGATGCCATAAATAATTTTATGCGGAACACCAAAACGATATACGATCTGAGACTTAAAAAATTAAAGAACATGATGTGTTGTGACTTCTCGTAAAGGCACTGCCTTTGCACTGTTCAAGAAATAATCGTCGTGGCAAGAATGAATCAGCGTCCTTTCAAAGATGGAGGGTCTACTGGACCCGCTATGTATTTTCCCCAACACTTAATGGGCCATGATGCAATCATCGCGTGTAGCACAATTAGGAGTTGATGTAAGCTACTCTGTGTATCTGACACTGAGGGCAGCTTCTGACAGTTTCCGTGCAGTCAATCATCATGGTTGGCCAGTAGTACCCCATCCTTTTAATCATCATGTTCTTCTTCCAGCCTTATTGGTGAGCACTGCACAGTCTTGCATGCACTTACTTGATGGTGCGATTTGGATGCGGTGACCCTAGTGCTATAAAAAAACTTAATTTGGTGTTTAATACATGGACAACTAATCTAGAAAATATGCAAGGCAATCACAATAATAATTAATCACTAGGATGCAAACACAAGTATACTTATCACACAAGTAATATAGAGCTCTAATGGAGTCCTAAGTATCGATCCCACAAGGAGGTGGAAATTTTTATAATAATAAATCAAAGAAATACTATCTATACTATAGAAAACTTACTTAAGAAAGCATTTGAAATTTGTTTTATGCAACTAAATAAACTCTGTTTACTACACATATTTCTAAATTTCAAAGCTAAATCTAATGCCTCTAAACTAAGTTTTATGAGAAGAGATCAAATTTAAGAAAGTATTATTCCCCTTTACAAAGATGTTATAGTTAGTGAATAATCCAAATCTTTGTAAATTATGTTGTGCCAAATAGGAGAAATTTTATTCTTTATCCTCTTTACGAGCAAAAAAGAACATTGACTAATCCAGAGTTTAGACCCAAAATTTGTGGTTAGGCTGGAAAGTTACTAACTTTCACTTTAGAGTTCACACGTTTCTCTCACCTGAGGGCTAACAACAAGCTTTAGCTTCCAAACATCTGAACCAAATTGAGGATTTTAGTCTGTCACCCTAAAATCTCAAATTCTACGCCCAACAAAACATATTTCACTATCTATTTGCACTTGAGCCCATGAACTACATTCTTAATTATGAGATCAAATGTGATTCTTGCTTTGTTGAATAAATCATAACCCTCATGAGATCAAATGTGATTCTTACTTTGTTGAAGAAATCATAACCCTGTCATATCATATGTTTCACAACAGCTTTTAATAAATCAATTGGTCATATCGATAAGTAAATGAAGATCAAAGTTTGAATCATCACAACTATGAAATTAAAATGCTTTTAAATAATTTTGATTCTTCACATGACTATATATCATTATAGGGAGAAGAACAAAGTAAACAATACAACAAAGCATGGAATTATATATAAAAACAAATTTATAAAATAAGAAAAAGTAAAGTATAACAACTTATCTCAATCTCCTCCTTAAGCAAATCCTTTGAAGTTCCTTTGAATCTCTTTCTCTCCTTACAATATTACTCAATTCTCTCTTAGAAATGTAATGAAGAAGAAATCTCTCCCTTTCCCTCTTCTCTTACAAATCTTAGAGAAAATCCTCTCTAACACTCTCACGCCACTTAATTCCCACTAATACACACACATTTTCTGTCATAAAATCACTCTTATATAATGTAGGGCCAAATTCCCAAGAGTCTTTTTTTGGTACCCCTTCAAAATTTTTCCAAATTTAATATATTTTGGAAAATAACCATTTTTGATGCCTAGGCACTGAAATATGGTGCCTAGGTGCCTCCTTCTCAATATTTTGGAGCTTATGCGCTAGATCCAGGCTCCTAGGCGCCAGTTCAAAGTTTTCAAAAACGGCATTTTTACTCCAAATTTCATCCCTTTTGCTTCCTTTCAGTTCTAAATGCCTAACTTAGTGCACCTGTAAAAAAACATAAAGACACCGTTCTTCAAAGTGAAATGTCACTAATAGTAACCATTAAATGTATATATATAAGTTGAATATATTTAAACATGTCAAAATCTCCCAAACTTAACTGTTACTTGTCCTCAAGCAACTCTTTTACTATATAAAAATTATTACTTATGGTAGTGAACCTTACTTAAAGATTTCTATAGTTTTTGTTTTATAAATACAATAGTCAAACTTTAGAAAAAAATTCAATAACTCAGGTTAAAACTAGAAATGTAAGAATATATAGTAATCAAGTCTAAGAGTTTTGATTTTCAATTCATTTCAAGAATAACTGTAATTTGTCTTACTAAGGAGGCTTAGAAGTATTATATGAATAAGAATTTCATGAGAAATCTATTAGAAAAGATGTTAATATTTTAAATATAAGTTTAGAAATTGATGAAGATACTGTATGTTACATATTCTATCTATTTCTGCTGAACAAACAAAAAGGAATATATATATATATATATATATATATTTTTTCTTTTTGCTTTTCGTTTTCTTCTTTTGATTTTTGTTTTTCTTTCTCTTTAAGGATTATTTTCAATTCTTTTTTTTTTTCTTTTCATGTGAGTATTACTATCTTTGGATAGTCTTTAAAAATTTTAAACTTCACTATCCTCTTCCTAAAGTTAAAAAGTTCTCACATTTCTTTACTTTATAAATGCATATTAGCTTTGAAATAGATTTTTCATAGTGTCTCAGTTCTTTCTTCTTATATGTAACATTAAGACTCATAATATTTCAAAAATACAATTTTCTTTACTTTAAATAGTAAAAGCATAGTCATATACTCTTATTCTAAATATCTTAATTCTAGAACTAACCTTTATTATTAAAAACTTTTACTTAAGCCTACTATGATATTTATAAAATAAAAAATAATTATATAAAGTTAACCTCAAATACCAAAATGTCATGTTAAAATAATATTAAAAATATAGTTTATTGAGGACAATTAAAGTTTAGTCTCATTTAAGAAAAAAAAATTTCTTCCCTCCAAACTTAAATTTTTAACAGGTAAAACATATAGTGTAGAAATGTAGGTATGAAGAAAACAATAAATGCAATTAATAAGTTTGACCTTTACAGGGTTTTGAACATGAAACTTTGCAGGTACTAATTAAAAATATCAGGTGTATAGCAGTACATAAAGTTTCATTAAACATGAAATATCAAAATGATTTATTAAGTAAATGACAGTTCTAAACATAAGCAATAAATTTAAAAA